CTCGTAGCAGAAAACACGTCTTTTTGCCCGTAAGAGCCTCTACTACTCATGTTATGACTGATTTGGGTGGAGAGCTTAGATTTTGAGGAAGATGAGGGGGTGAAGTTGTATTTGTAGTATTGACCCTATCCCAACTTTCCTGTCGAAGAAATTCTTACAGGGGTTGGCACCGATCCTCATGCACTCAATAAAATGTCCAATATTGCAAGCGAGATGAATTACTAAGCTGCGCCTTGACCATTGTTAATGGTCTGGCCCGGCGTGCGCTACTTCTTTCGAAAAGAAAGCGGTGCGCGCTACTTCGAAGAAATTTAGACGAGTAACATCCGTCAAAGAGCTGCGCCGCATTCCTCTATCCAGAGCCCTAGCGCTTGCAAGAACGCGTGCCCGCCTTACTTGTGAAACAAGCGCGCCCGCAGCGACGAGAAAGCTTATGGTTAGTTGTAGCGCGATCCGTTACTGTGCCGCGCCGAGCTGCCATGAATTGACATCGTCAATTAAATGGTTAGGTGAATGCGCCGGTTTATATACAAAACATTCGCCGAACCATGGGCCTATTCAGTATTCGCGTGCTAATTGGTGACAGTAAACACTATTGTAGCGCGATGCACTACTGGGTCGCGCGCGCATCAAATAAGGCTTCTCGCAACCGGACCACTTCGGTAGATCGGCAAAATGCACCACTGTGCCTCACCGAGCTGCGAAGGATTGACATCGTGAATCAATAAACACTAAGGACTAAAATGGGTTGACGGATGACGGATATTACCCGTCTCGCTCCTACTAAATCGCTCGCCCAAATTTTAAGAAAATTCTTGTGAAAAGGCCCTTTAGGCATGAAAGTGATCTAGAGCGGTGTATTTTTGAATGCTGATTTCGAATCACCCCCCATGACGTAGGCTTAAAATGCTTTCCTGGAGAGTTATGGGCAAAAACCCGTTTTGGTCACGTGACAGGCTAGTAAAACGTGAATTCGATTATTTAGGGCTCGGGTTAGGGTTAGGATTGCGGTTAAGATTATGGATAGCTTCGGGGTTATGTTTAGGGTTAGGGTTGGGATTAGGGTTTACGTAAAACCGTTTTGTACGGCTGCAAAACCAAAAAAACCTAAGTCACGTGAAATTTTTGGGCGAGCGATTTAGTAAAAGCCTACTTGTCTAGATTTCTTAGCGCGCGCCGCTTTTTTAAGTAGCGCGCGCCGCTTTCTTCTCGAAATGGCCCGACTGCAAATGCTACGAAGTAGTACACGACGGGCCAGACAATTATAGCATTATAACAATGGTCAATAAAATAGGCCCATCCAAGCAGTGCCGTCGCGTAACGTTGCCTATTGGCGCCCCCGCCGAAAAAGTCGATCTCCGAGATTGTTCTAAAAGGGCCCCCGAAAAAAAAAAAAAAATTAAAGAAAAACTTTTTAATATCACTGACAAATTCATCAAGAAATGCTCAGTTAAGACAGATGGACAAGATCCATGGTTTGACTCAGAGTGCTATGATGCATGGCGCAAGAAAATAAAACTTCATAAAGATAGACATAAAAGCGATAGAGCCCAAATAGCATTCTCCCTTGCCAGGAAAAACTTCAAAAATGTGGTTGCTCAAAAAATGCGAGAAACATTAAATGAATCAGATGATAGCGCTCTTGTAACAAAAAAATTCTGGTCATATGTAAAATCAAAAACAGCTAGTCAAAGAATTCCTGAGTTTGTAAGCTACAAAGGCATTGTCCGCAACTGCCCAGAGGACCAGGCCAACTTATTTAATGGCTTTTTCTTTGAGCAGTTCTCTGAAGCATCATTATACGACATAGATATTGATTATTCAAACGATTGGCGCTTTGATATTGCATTTGACCACCAAAGGGTTCGAAAAATCCTTTCCAATATTAACCCTAACAAAGCTTATGGGCCTGACGGTATTCATGGGAAACTTTTGAAAAACTGTGCTGTTGGGCTTGCATACCCATTATCACTATTATTTCATTCATGTTACAACATTGGGACATTACCTAGGGAGTGGAAACTGGGACACGTTGTACCCATATATAAAAAAGGTGATAAACACGAGGTTTCAAATTATAGGCCAATATCCCTTACATGCTTAATCACCAAAGTTCTTGAACGCATAATTAAAGATGAGTTACTTGCACTTACTAACGGCATGATCAACGATAAACAACACGGTTTTCGAGCTGAAAGATCATGTGCAACTAATCTTGTAGGTCTATGTGACAGCCTAGCTCTCTCACTGAATGAAAATATGAGAACAGATGTAGTCTACTTTGATTTTGCCAAAGCTTTCGACTCAGTTAACCATGATCTTATATTATTTAAGCTAAAGAGCAAATTTGGTATTGATGGGAGGCTACTGAAATTCATCACTGATTATCTAAGAGACAGGCAACAACAGGTCTTGATAAGTGGTAAGTTTTCTTCCATGAGAAACGCCCAATCTGGTGTACCACAAGGGTCAATTTTGGGACCTTTGTTGTTCATTATGTTCATTGATGATATATCAGTGGGGATTTCACCTGGCACACAACTGTCACTGTATGCCGATGATACTAAAATTTGGCGTGAGATTGTTTCGGAGTCTGATATCCTGCGACTGCAGAAGGACATTGATTATCTCCATGACTGGTCACTTTCTAATAAAATGAGATTTCATCCCGACAAATGTAAGGTCCTCACCGTCGCAGGAAGGATATCCGAAACAGTTTCCCTCCTTAGTGTCCTACCACTCTTTAACTTTGTATACTCCATGGGAAGAATCGCACTTGACTATGTCGATCATGAAAAGGATTTGGGTGTTTTTGTGACCAAGAATCTCGACTGGCAAGACCAGTGCTCTAAAGTCCTCTCAAAGGCCAACCAAAAATTAGGCATGGTAAGGAGAAATTGCTATTTTGTTCAAGATGTAAATCGTCGTAGAGTACTGTATCTCACTTTAATGAGAAGTCAATTTGAGCATTGCTCAGTTATATGGAGACCGGTCACAAAATCCCAGATAAGCAAGCTGGAGGGCCTCCAAAAGCGTGCTATTAAGTGGATTCTTCGCGAGGAGTATATGAGTTATCCACCATCCACATACATTCAGAAATGCAGACAGCTTAAGATTATGCCCATAGAAGACCGCTTCGACTTTCTTGACCTTATTTTCTTCTTTAAAATTGTGAAGCAACATATTCCTGTCACTTTACCCTCATATTTGCAACCATATCAAGGCCACTCAAGGTTAAGAAATAGCCACATGGACCCCTTATGTTTTGTAAGCTCGATCTTACCACGAGCAAGCTCTAACGCTTTTGCTAAGAACTTTTACTTTAGGACCCATTCCAAATGGAATCATATTCCTCTAGATATACGTGAGATAGAGACTATTTCTGAGTTCAAAAGCAAATTGACCTCCTACATGTGGGATAAAATTATGCCGGAGGACTTTGATTATGATCTAGAGTTTTCCCTCGAGACAGAGATGTGAAGCAGTTTACCTAAAGCTAACAATATGTTCATAAGGAGCTTAAATCCCTGTTGTCTGTATTTCTCATTTCTCATTTTAGTGCATGTCATCACATCATGGATTTCACTTTATTATATGATTTGATTGCTTTTGATATTTTTGTGTGTTTCTATTTGAAATTCTATTTAAAATTTAAGATTTTCGTGGGCCCATACTTGTGCAGGAGGTGCATTTTGCTCTCAACATTTGTGTTTTGGTGACCCTCAGGTCCTTTGATTACATACATTTTGTCCTAGAAAATCTGATTTTATCGGAGTCTTATACTTTTGAGAAAATTTAATGTTGTTCATTCATTGTGTAAATTTGTATGTAATTGATCGATTTGAAAGATTTCAATAAAAAAAAGTTGAAACCTATTTCAATCGATGATCAATGTATTTTAATTTCGGACGCTGATTCCGAATCACCCCCATGGCATAAAGTTAAAATGCTCCCCTGACGAGATATTGGCGAAAGACTGTCTTGATCACGTGCACAGGGGGAGCTGAAACCAGTGACCGTACAAGGAAGTTAGTCTAATTTATCGTTATATAATTATAGGGTTAGGATTTTAGCATATAAATTATAATGCTTTTGTTAAGGATTTGGTTAGGGTTAGGGTTGGGATCAGATTTATATATAAGAGGGTTAAGATTTCGATAAGTCGCTCAAGACCAGCTAGAGAACAAGTTGAAAAAGTCACGTGACAGTCGAGTGTAGAGTGATTAATCGTGTCATCCTATGACCTAGACTCATGACTAATACTGAATACTATATGAATGTGTTATCCATTGTTAATGGGCTGTCCAGTGTCCCGGCGCACGGCCGCACGCTTGCGTAACTTCGATATAGGAAGAAATTTTGCCTTTGCGTACTTATTTATTGCATGTAATTAGTACGCGAAGGCAAAAATTTATTCATTATTGCATGCAAGATATTTAATTGAAGATGTCAATTCATCGCAGCTCGGCGCAGCACAGAAGCGCATCTCGCCGATCTAGCGAGGTCGATGTGAGAAGCCCCATTGAGTGCGCGGCGCGGCAAAGTAACGCATCGTGCTACAAGCAAGATATTTAGTTCATTTTATATTTTCAGATTTGTTAGATGACTGTCAGTTTATAACCTACCAGAACCCGCCGACGGTCTTGGAACATATATTTCACGAGTGTCACCCGTTAATTAGTTGTATCACGTGGTGACCCCCACTGTCGCTTCACTGTAGAGTTTTAACGATACAGGGGGAGCCGCGCACCCGTGCGCGGCGGGTCTTACAACGTATGACGATTAATTAGCTGAGCACATGTTGGCTCGATCATACATCACGAATGACATTACTGGCAACTGGGCGGCGCTCAGTCTGTCATTCCGCCAAATCTCTGAAGCCTGGTATCCCCAGGTAAGAATGACACAGCTCTGCTGCGCAATATAATATTACGATCAACAATTAAGTTCGCCCATGCAGATCCAAATTTCGTTAGATCGTATAAGAAACGACAAATTCGTCTTCAAGTATAAACCAAATTGAAATATTATGCTTTTCACAAATCAGCAATTGAAATAGAAATAAAATTATTCCATCATCCATTATTCATTATTCAATGGCTGAATTGCGAAACATAACCTAGCATTAAGAAATGAAATCACCCCTAACACCTAATTTAATGTTAGCTAGAAAGCAGCATTTTAAAATCTTCCACATTTCAACTAACTTTGTAAAAAAATCGTTGTACAGCTTAAATTTACAGAAACAGTTACAACTAAACTAAAACTAGGAGTATAAATGATAAATAATGAAGTTTATGTTTTTCCAATAAGAAACCGTTCACGTATTACTTCAGTGAGATTTTGAATATCTTAGACTCCCGCCCTTCAGCAAGCGTACACCTACATGTTCTGTAAAAATTATATTAGCATCAAAATGTCTGCCAACTCGAACCTCTTGACCCGCTAGGATTCAGACGATTTATGTGAACGGTCCCTTTTATTAGTGTTAATTAAATAAGCATCAATTTTCAAATTGATAAATATTTCCCGTGACCTACGTTTTCGCACAAAGATAACCGCAAAAAGTTAACAAACTAAAGCGGAAATCAACCACCAATCTCTTCACTCTTGTTTAATCATTGCATGCACCCAAATCGTCGATCAAGAAATTTTAGCTTTAGACTTAAATAACAAAGTTGGTTAAAATCAAGTCACCTTATCAAATTATTTACATCTCTAGCTTTCAGAATAAATAGAGTGTTTCTCGCCTTCTCGGCTATAGAAAAGGAATTTGTTTGAAATATGGCTGAAATAACCCGTAGAAAAATAAACAGAAATGATTAAAGAATCGAAAAAAAAGCATTTAGTACATAATTATAATATATCCCCGAAACAGCAATAGGCCAGTTTGATTAACATTTAATCTGATAAACTGAACGAGGGCCTTGTTCTTGTAGTCAACAAAGGGATACAGATGTTACCACGGCAACTAAGGGCGACCACACAATGCACCAGGAGAGATGACATCAGTCGTGAAGTCCACACTTATTTGGTAACCAAAACTTTAGTTGAGCCGCCCAGCGGCAAAAAACAATAACTGCAGCGGTACCTATCCTAGTCAGGTTTCAGGACTCATACAGTCATACGGACTGTTAGACTGTGTTGCTGGACTGTGATAAAAAGGGAGCTGGTGGTGGTGGAAGGTTCTGGAATGTTACTCGTAGAGTTTCCAGTACCATTTCTTATCTCCTAACATTTCCACCAGATCGCTGGGAGATTAATATTATCAGATAAGTTTCGTGGGAGTTTAACAATTTACTGGCTCCAAGTCAGACGCTTCAGTTCAACGTAATATCAAGATATAAATTATTCTTAGAGTATCTGATTATAAAGGAAACCATCTTGCTCATCTTTAAAATAACGATTGAACGATTTGTATTAACTTACTCTAAGAACGGCTTAAAGAAATCTTTGAGAAGATTTTTAGTTTCAGGGAGTATATAGGGTATTCGAGCGGAGTCGCGGAGTGAATTTCTGACTTTATGCTGCTCGAGGTAGGTCTTCATGTAGTCCACTGGGAACCGTGCTGAAAAATAAGGAAAATTAAAAAAAAGATAACTTACAACTTAATTATTCAAGTCGATTGTTGGCATATTTTTCCGTACACAAGGTTGTTTTAGTACATTTCTTCAACAAAAATAAAATAAAATTCAACTTACATATTCCTAAGAAATCACAGACGCCATTAATAGAAGCGATCTCGTCACTAATATGCTCCTCGAACATCATAACGTGAATCTGTTCCCGTGGGAAGACTTTCAGCCAGTCAGCAACGTACACGGAGTAAATACTCGCGTATAGATGAGTCTGAACAGTTATCAGAATTAGATTTTGAGAACTTTGGTAATAAAGATCATCTAGTACTTTTCACAAAATCTTTGAAATATCTACAATTAAATTAATGGCGATGAGTAACGTAATACTTAGTATCTTTATTTTTCCCATTATCATTTATTGGCTAAGGAATGATTCTAAAAATGTAATTACCGCAAGTTGATGAGATTCGGTGCTGTACACGCAGCCTCGATCTGTGTTAGTCTTCCGGCAATCGCGGAACATTTTAACTGCTTCTCCCACTAAATTGTGGAATTTCTCCGGTGTGACCGGCTTGTCACATGCGTACACACGGAACGCGCAGAAAAACTGGTACGCGGACTGCATTCTGAAATAGTGATTTGGTGAAGATGTTTAAAAAATTGAGATCAAATATAACAGATCATATTCTCTTGTTCGAATAGATTAAAAAATGAAAAAAATTTAACAGCAATTAGAAAATATATTATGTAAAAATCAACAACTCAAACACGGAGGACAGAACGACATATAGAACGAACAATAATTAATAATTCAAGAACAAACCATAAACTGTACCTGCTAATTGGGTTTCTGAGGGATAATATAATTCTAGTGTCAGGGTTAATAGTGGCAATAACATCAGGGTTAGTAACCGGAGGTTCCCTGTATCCAGGATGAAACACCTCCCAAAACTCGTTATCCCAAACTGCTGAGGGGGTTGCGTCCATCGTGATTCCTAGCGGGGAGATTTTCTTTTAAAACTTTGAAATTAATGAAAATCAAAAGATAAGCGGAGGATTTAACAAACATTATATTATGAACAGTGGAGGAGTTACAGCTGTCTCGCCCGGCGGCATTTATTGTCTGTGACGTCACCATGACGTCACTACATACCATGAAACAGGACGTCACTGTCGTTATCTTTTCTGTAAGTAGAAAGGAGGTTCTGTCTGAATTTTCCCCCGTTTGTCCACGAAAGGAACGACACGGGAACTGGAGGAAGAGATATGTTACAAATCATCCCAGACTCCAGATATGAGATATCCGGTATATATTTAAGACAATTTTTATGGTGTATCGTATGTATTGATTGCAATCTCCTCGGATGGTCGAGAATAATATTTATGATAGGCAACCGTGAGAATGTGATTAAATTCCTGTCAACAAGTGACATTTACAAATTAGAAGAGATCTAATCAAACGGGCGTTTCTTGAAAATCAACGTCAAAGTCCAGATCTGATAATACGGAATGTGAATAGGCTCCTTTAAAAATGTAAAAAGGCTCCTTCAAAAATTTAAATAGGCTCCTTCAAGAATTTTAAATGTTACTCACGTCTGGTTGGTTTTCTGTTCATCCTAATAATGCGTCCTCTTCGGAGTCTGTCAAAGTAGTGGGTCTCTTTTCCAGATCGTGAGGAAACGTGAGTGTGGTTTTTCAGTATCGCAAATAGGTCAGTGGTTCCTAGTGTTATAGTTGTACTGTTAAGCCATCGGCCGAATAAGTTGACATCCAAAGAGAACTAAACGCACCAAATTGCTGGAAGGATTAAAAAAGTGAGGAAAATATGCGGTCAAACAAAAATTTCAATCACTAACCACACTTAGTGAAGCCGATAATATAGAAGTAGGGAATACAAAATAATTTATCTTCGCCCAGAAGGTCTTTCCCTTTCCAGCAAGGGTTACGGAACTCCTTCATGAACTGTTTCTGGGGAGGTAGGAATGTGAACATATCTTCCGGTGTCTCTTTAATTATCTCTCTGAGGGAATTACGTGATTATTAAGAGTTGAATTTAAGGGAGATATAAATATCATGTACTAGACATGTTGAAAAATGCTGAATAGTAAATTTAGATAGCGATCACCATCGCAGAATTCGATGGGGAAAGTACGCAATTTTCAATTTTAAGTTTCAACAAACATATCCAAATTAAATTGATAAAAAATAATTTGATCTCTAAAAAATCTTACTTTTTAATTTTTCTTTCATTAGCGTAGCAGTATTCAGCATCGCAGTATAGCTTATCAGGGTTTCCAAATGCGGTGTATTTGTTGATACCTGAAGATGAAATGTTACACCTTAAAATTGATATGCACTTAGATAGTGGCGGTGGTCTTTGAATACCTTCATAATTCATATTATATTATGGGACATGAGTGCGTGTGTGTTTATGAGGATAAGTTTAAGTGAGAAGTGGGACCTCAAAAAGTTGCAGTCAGGGTAAAAATGTAAAGCTGGCAAAACATCAAAAAATCTTAAATATTTCGCACCTTTGGCTTAAAAAGTTGCAATATCTCCTTGAGAATTTAAATGAAAACTTGTACAACTCTAGTTCTCGACATGAGAAACACGGCTACAAAGATTAACCGAGATTAATTGGATCAGAAAAATCGCTTTGAAGCGTCTCAAAAATTCCAAATAAAGAAATAAGGTTGAAAGTTACTGGGCCGGTATTTAAATGTGTACTTAATCCTGATTTAATGATGAGCTGCAATAAACTGAGGGGATTTGTACAAAACTAGCGTTTAACCTACGTAATGATATGAGACATACCTTTGCGCCCCATGCATGGCCATGATTTGAATTCTTGTGATATTGTGAGTTTTGGCTGACAGTGATTGATTGAATTCTGAAAAGTGAATGGGTATTTTTGTAACAGCTGTTGAAATTATTGTACACAGAACATGATATGGATACAAATAAAAAACGAGACGATAACATGCAGATGATTATGACATACACAGACAATCCTTACCGTTACCATATAATAATGATCTTCTCTCTACAAAGAAATCTTAATTATCGTGATGTGGCAATATCTGGTGTCACAATTGAGAGAAAAACAGAAGCCCGTTTGTTACGAGTTATGATAGATGATAAACTAAACTGGTCCTATCATATTTCTGCCATGAAAATGAAAATGTCCAGATACATAGGAGTCATGTACAAACTTAAAAATATCTGCCTCTCGAAGCACGCCTTCAAATTTATCAAAGTTTTGTGCAGTCACACCTTAATTATTGCAGCCTTGTATGGGGTTTTGCTGCCAAGTCTCATATTGAATCACTTTTTGTAAAACAGAAAATGGGCCTTCGAGCAGTATTACCTGGTTTCGTAAATCACTGGTACAAGGACGGTATCCCCCCAGCAAGTACCAAGTCTGGCTTTTATTCACATAAAATATTGATAGTAGTTACACAGTATCATTGTAAAGAACACACTCATTTTAATGCATAAATTGAAAAACTTTCCAAATCTAGTACCATTGTCTCTCAAGAAAACAATTCCTAAAAGCGCACCATTATTTAATAATAACCCGGATTCTATTCTCACTACACAATGGTCAGAAAAGTATGGTCAACACCCTTACAACAACTCAGTATTTTTTAAAGGTCCATTATTAGCAATAAACCGATATAATGTTGCAGCAACTTCCCCACCTAGTCTATTTAACCTGGACATTTATAAAGCTTGTATAAAAACTATGCTCATCGATCAGCAAAATGAAAACATCGAAGACGAATGGCCTAATTTCATGTTATTTTGTATAACAGGACTAAGAAAATCAAAGCGTAACATAAACCAAAATACCGATAATAACCTTGTCTCTATAACATCTTATATGCAGTATTATTATATGCAGTATTATTATATGCACACACTTAAGCATCACTCAATAAACTTGCATATCTCATCAATTACACTGCCAACATTGAACATTCCTTAATATCGCCGCGTATTTCAAATCAAGTTACAAACACTCCGTCCATTTTAACAATAATTTGGAAAACTAAGTAAATTCTTGAAATTATCTCAATTCTACAAATTTTGAAGTGCTCAGTCTTGTTTTACTTTTTCACCATTGAAAAAATAAAACTTAAAGTTATACTTATAAACCTTCATTGCATACTTTACCGGTAGAGTCTAAATTAAATAGTTTGAGATTTCCTTTACATTTTATATTTAAGCATGTGCCCCACGGGGATTAATTTCTTATTACCATTGATATTATATATATTTTTTGAGTAAACATTGGCTGGTACCACGGGCCAGTCCCCAACAAAAAGTTCTGCTCCATGCTTAGGATTCTTGTGAGATTGTGAATTTTGGCTGATAATGATAGATGATTAGATTGAATTCTAAAAAGATGAGTGATATAATGAGATAAAGGAGGCCATAGTCAACCATCTCGACCAAGGTGAGAGGAGAGCGGTTGAGCGGATCAAAAGTAACCCCAAATATTTCTTCTCCTATGCCAAATCATTCTCCAAAGTGAAACACAACATTTCTACCCTCCTGAACGACAATAAGGAACTAGTCACTGAACGGAAAGAACTCGCCAACATCCTTCAACAACAGTTCTGCTCCGTTTTCAGCGACCCTAACTGTCCCGACACAGCAGTCCCTACATTTGCGGTACCACCCCTTATCAGTAGAGACAATGACATTGTGTTAACACCTGATAGTATCATGGAAGCTATATCTGAAATTAAGCTAGACTCTGCGCCTGGACCCGATGGAATACCAGCTATTCTTCTCAAAAGGTGTGCTACCAGCCTTAGTGTCCCGATTTATCTTATGTGGCCAGAGTCCATGTCATCTGGTATAGTGCCAAGCTTCTACAAGACGGGTTATGTTTCGCCACTTTTCAAGAAAGGCAGTAGATGTGAAGCTGGAAACTACAGACCTGTCACTTTGACCTCCCACGTTGTAAAAGTGTATGAAAGAGTGATAAGAAAACATATGGTGGAGTATTTGGAAGCCAACAGTCTCTTGACCGATAAGCAGCATGGTTTCAGAGCGAATAGGAGCTGCTTGACTCAAATGCTCGGCCATTTTGACGACATCTACGAAGGGTTTACTCGTGGTGAAGATACAGATTCTATATATCTGGATTACGCTAAGGCGTTCGATAAAGTCGACTTAAATCTTCTCATCCACAAGCTGAAAAAATATGGGTTTCATGGCAAGCTCATAGAGTGGATAAAGTCCTTTCTCTTTGATCGCGAACAAGTCGTGGTGCTTAATGGAGTTCACTCGGTTATCGCAAAGGTTTTAAGTTGTGTTCCCCAGGGAAGCGTTTTGGGGCCGCTTCTCTTTATCTTGTTCATCAATGATCTAGAACAAGTAGTGGACTCATCTAGGGTGAGTTTTTTCGCCGATGATACTAGAGTCTCCAAACAGATTGGCTGTTTTGAAGACTGTCAGTTGTTACAAGAAGATATCTATAAGATTCTTGACTGGTCACGTAGCAACAACATGAAGCTTCACGAGCAGAAGTTCGAGCTGTTAAATCACCTCCATAACAGTAAGAGCTCATTCCCCGAACTACCCTTCTTTGCCGAAACACTGCGTTACAAAGTATCCAGTCAGGACATACTTTATCCTGTCGAAAATGTCCGAGATCTTGGAGTTATGGTTTCAAGTGATCTTAGCTGGTCGACACACATCGGCAACATGGTACCCAAAGCAAGGAGCACACTATCTTGGGTATTCAGTGTGTTCAAAACTCGCGACAAGACCGTAATGACTACTCTCTACAAGTCACTAGTAAGAAGCTTACTAGAGTATTGCTGCCCACTCTGGAGCCCTACCAAGGTGACTGAAATACAGCTGATAGAGGGGGTGCAAAGAACTTTCACCAGTCGTATTGGCGGTCTTCAACATCTCAACTATTGGGAAAGACTCGTACAGCTTAAATTGATGTCTCTACAGCGCAGACGGGAGAGGCATATCATCCTGATGATGTGGAAGATTCTCCATAATGTGGTACCAAACTGCTGTGATATCAAATTCAAGGTGACCCCAAGACACGGGGATGTAGCTGTCATACCCTCATTGTCAAAGTCAAGTTCCTTACGCAACCAGTCACTGTACGACAGGTCTTTTGCAGTTCAAGGACCGAAGCTGTGGAACAAAGTGCCTCACACAGTAAAGGCTGATTCATCCTTTGACATGTTTAAGTGTAGTTTGTCGAACTTTCTTGCTTTGATACCGGACAACCCTCCGGTCGCCGGCTACAGCTGCAGTTGGTCAAACTCACTGGTCGACTACTCGCCATCCAGGTGGTCAGATATCTGATGACCCTTCCGGCTCCACGGATGAACTCAACGAAGAAGAAGAAATAAAGTTTTATACACAGAGTATGATAATAAAGAAAAATTCTTACCTTCGCTTCTGGGAAGAAGTTCAGGTCGACCATCATACGGGTTAACCCCTTTCTTGAGGTAGGGTTTCTGAATTAAATAGTTGCTCTTTTCGTCTTTAATTATATCGCTTCCGAACACTTCCTCAACTGTGTTATCAGGAGGACGTTCGAACTTATGCTCCTGAAAAATGTGCTAGATTACAAGAGGGAATGTGCTAGATTACAAGAGGGAATGTGCTAGATTACAAGAGAGAATGTGCTAGATTACAAGAGAGAATGTGCTAGATTACAAGAGAGAATGTGCTAGATTACAAGAGGGAATGTGCTAGATTACAAGAGAGAATGTGCTAGATTACAACCGTATTGCGATTAAAGCCCCGAAACGGTGTCAGGTTGGTAACTGATGATTCTGATCTATGCTCCTGTGAGTTTGCTGTTGTATCTCAACTCGCTAAACTGAGGCATCTCCGCATCTTGGGTGAATATGCGTACATCTTCATACTAAACCCAGGTGTGGCATGTGTCAGTGAATACGGGCGAGCGGATGCAATAGCGAAGGTGGTGTGGCAAGGCCTAAAAGACACAGTCAGATAGTTGTCAGCTCGCTGACTGTAAGGGAGAAGGTATATCCGTATTTCGCTGCTACTGATGCAGTCCTTGATCTGGCAATCAAGGCTTCTCTGTTTTTCGTCTAACTATGTACCGTTGGGCTTGTGGAACCCGTAAGGGGGACATACATAGGTTAGAATGGTTTTGTGCACCAAGAGGAGTGAGGGAATGAGGGTTGAAGAGAGAGAGCTTGAGAGTTGTTAGGGTGGTTAGGATCAGTAGGTGGAGTGTTTGGTTGGAGCCTTCTGTTTTTGCTGTATAGCATTTTAGTCACTCCGCAGTTTATTAACTGTGTCTCAACTCTGAGAATGTGCTAGATTACAAGAGGGAATGTGCTAGATTACAAGAGAGAATGTGCTAGATTACAAGAGAGAATGTGCTAGATTACAAGAGAGAATGTGCTAGATTACAAGAGAGAATGTGCTAGATTACAAGAGAGAATGTGCTAGATTACAAGAGAGAATGTGCTAGATTACAAGAGGGAATGTGCTAGATTACAAGAGAGAATGTGCTAGATTACAAGAGAGAATGTGCTAGATTACAAGAGAGAATGTGCTAGATTACAAGAGAGAATGTGCTAGATTACAAGAGGGAATGTGCTAGATTACAAGAGGGAATGTGCTAGATTACAAGAGAGAATGTGCTAGATTACAAGAGAGAATGTGCTAGATTACAAGAGAGAATGTGCTAGATTACAAGAGAGAATGTGCTAGATTACAAGAGGGAATGTGCTAGATTACAAGAGAGAATGTGCTAGATTACAAGAGAGAATGTGCTAGATTACAAGAGAGAATGTGCTAGATTACAAGAGAGAATGTGCTAGATTACAAGAGAGAATGTGCTAGATTACAAGAGAGAATGTGCTAGATTACAAGAGAGAATGTGCTAGATTACAAGAGAGAATGTGCTAGATTACAAGAGAGAATGTGCTAGATTACAAGAGGGAATGTGCTAGATTACAAGAGGGAATGTGCTAGATTACAAGAGGGAATGTGCTATATTACAAGAGAGAATGTGCTATATTACAAGAGAGAATGTGCTAGATTACAAGAGAGAATGTGCTAGATTACAAGAGAGAATGTGCTAGATTACAAGAGGGAATGTGCTAGATTACAAGAGGGAATGTGCTAGATTACAAGAGAGAATGTGCTAGATTACAAGAGGGAATGTGCTAGATTACAAGAGAGAATGTGCTAGATTACAAGAGAGAATGTGCTAGATTACAAGAAAGAATGTGCTAGATTACAAGAGAGAATGTGCTAGATTACAAGAGAATGTGCTAGATTACAAGATAACATTTCTACTTGAGAAGTTCTTAACTGTTACGGTAATTGCGCTTCATTGAAATTATAATAGTAAATATTTCATCTTTAAGGTTTTCAACTCGATAACATTAATATTATCGAGTTGAACAGGTATTTAATCAGTACCAACATGTATTTAACAGTGGTACCAACAGGTATTTAACAATGGAACCAACATGTATTTAACAGTGGAACCTACATGATAATCACTAGACGGCTCCTCCTCCTCCTCCTTATCTTCAGGAGAAGTACCAGACACCTTGTCTCTAGTGACAGCCTCCTGTTCGTACTCTGTTAGAGTCTGAACAGTGTGCTCGTTGTCATCGTGTGCTGTGAAGGTGGGGAAGGAGAGGTTGTCTTCCCATTTAGGACTGGCTTGTTGATCTCCAGTGCTAACTAGAAAGAAAAAATCACGTTAAGTTTGAAAATTAATTGGAGAAAAATGTGTTAACTTAGTTGTTGCCTAAAATAAAATGGGCAAATCGTACGATGAGAAGCCAAAATAATTTTATAAACAAATTCTTTTGAACAGCAGATTCATCTCATGTTACCTGCTCGTATGAAGGCAGAGGTATAAAATAGTAAAATATAATGTACACTGTACAGTTGTACTTACTGGTAAGACGATAGTTTTGAGATACAAAGAGAATTAGATGGAAGCCTGCAAGTAGAACCAATACAAGAATAACCTGAAAATATGGAAATGTGTTAGAAAGTTAATACTAATAGTACCAACCTAAATGATCGGGTTATACTCCTTCGCACAAAATGTTAATTTTAAGGTTTAATATCATGGTCCCTTGTGTGATTAACAAGATGAATTATTGCCCCAAAGCTGTAGTCGTCCGACTATATCAGCACACTCGCTGAAAACATTGTTTACAGCCGGTAAACAATCATCACTATGGCTACTAAACACTATATCATTAGAGGTCGGTGTTAATTACCCTAAATAGTAAATATATTACCCTAAATATATTACCCTAAATATATCGAGCTAAAGCTTGAAGATTGGGAGATGGTTCTTACCTTGTTCAAAAGTTTTCCTAACGGTAAATGCATTAAAAAGAGACTAAACCAACCAAACTGTACAAAACATAATAAGGGGACAAGGAACTATGGAACAACTAAAAAGTGTACTTATTGGAGGGAGGCCGTGTTGCGTTACATGCCAATGGGTGACTAACAATAGGCCCTAACAATGAGCTTTTTGTCCAGCCCGAGAGCCTGTCCTTTTTACTTAAACGGTTAGATAAAAGAACAGCTGATGAAAGGACGGCTTAGTGTGAAAGAGGCAGAAGCTCTAACAGTAATATTTATTATCTAGATTCTAGATTAATATGTGGAAGGTACATGTGGATTATAGTTTGCATGGTTTGAACACGCCTCTTATATTAAGGTTATAACTGAACTACTGTATATTATTCATATAAGGCTATAACTGAACTACTGTATATTATTTATATAAGGCTATAACTGAACTACTGTATATTATTCATATAAGGCTATAACTGAACTACTGTATATTATTTATATAAGGCTATAACTGAACTACTGTATATTATTTATATAAGGATATAACTGAACTACTGTATATCATTCGTGAACAATTAAATATTGGTCTTTTAAGGAATTCGAACGAGAAATTGGGAAGATGAAATATTTGTACATTCTAACATTTTACCTGAAGAAAACGTCTACTGGACACCATGGAAAGTTCTGGAGCAAATGAAGGCGGAGCAACTTAAACAATTGTAGACCGAAGATTAGAACTGTTCTGATTCAGGTCTACTAGATAACTTATCTAGTATATCTTTATCTTATGCAAAGCTAATTAGCTTTGTATAAAAAGGTAACAACAGAAACGTGAGTGGCAATTCGATTAGCTTAATGGAAACTATTCCATGAGGACAAGTCCTTTGTGGGGAGGCAGCATGAGCAGTTGAGCAAACAAGCTAAGTAGTACAAGTTGTAGGCAGTACACAATGTAGGCGTGTACTGAGTACGGTACCACCTCCTTGAATACGATGAAGGCTGGAATATATTCTTAGATAATTGTTATAATTGGAGATTCAAAGAAATGTTCATACCAGTGGCGTAACGAAGGGCCCAGCTGACCCCGCTGTGTAGGGGGGCGCCGTCTTAGGGGGGCGCCAAATCGTCGTTTGAATGTGGGACAATTTCGAAAACTTAACTAAAGTACTAGCAAAACTGCGCGTTTTGCTCTAGATACACACTTTTTTAGAGATTTTACCGGCGTATCCTCTAAAATCACCTAATTTGTTCAATTTTAGGGAGGGGCACCAAAAGGGGAGGGGGCGCCAACAGGGGGGGTGCCTTTTCGGCGGGGGGCGCCAACAGGCAACGTTACGCCACTGGTTCACACCACAATGATGTTTTAACATCGATCCACTGAGTTCTAAATCCAATCAAAAGTATTGCCCTTACACTGGATAACCCAGATCTAAGACCACCCTGAAACCACACTTTTTAAAATTCAGATAGGCAAAAAGTTCGTCAACATTTCATAGTTTTAAGATGGTGTAACAATAAGAGCTGAGCTTGCAAAAAAATCGGAACGATCAGATCTAGTTGACAGGAGAGAGGGTGCTTGGTAAACTTTGCAAGTTTAACAAAATTAATTAATTTCAAAACGATGCAAGTGATATAAAAACACGTCTGTTTGACATTGTCAGACGCTGAACCAGAGAAATTGCAGTTGCCGAGTGAGCACCTCAAATTGTGTATTAACGGAACGGGAACCTGATCACGCGTTTAAATATCATGGCCATCAAATGTGAGATCCATTTTGACGTTTTCAGCCAGTAAACTACCATTAAACAGTTTACGAGTTATATTACGTTGATTAATTTGCAAAGAAAAGTTCAACCAGGTGATGATCAGAGTGGTTCCCGCTATGTTCAGCTAAAAGGTTATAAAGCAGTTAACTAATGTTTTAGTAGCACGTGCTCCGAGATATGCACGTGTTCCGAGAAATCCACAACGCACGTGCCTGTCAAATGAAGGGAGAAAAGCTTGACTGCCACCATTAAACATACAGTTAATTTTTATTGACGTCACTGTTTATCCATTTCAGTTAACGAAATGCAAACTGGCCGGACTGTGCCACCGATAAAGTCTCTACTTTAAAAAGCTGAGGTTCACATTCCAAGAATCCTCACAATCACGGTAAATACCAAATGCAGATTTTCGAGTTTTTGCAAAAAGGCTCAAGAAGACTTACTGAGACATCCTTTGAAGCCTACAAATTTTTGTCACAGGCCACAGCTTAGCTTTTCAACTTTTTATGCCACAAAATAGAATGTTAGTAGCTGACAAGTTATGCCTTAAACCAAAATGGGAAATCATTTTATATTAGGTCCGCACGACAGCTCTTTCTACTAAATACGCGTACATAATACGACAAAAATACGACTGGATACGAATAGCACATTTAATATAATTTCAGTGCATTGATTATTACAACTATTATATATTTTGAGTAAACATTGACTGGTGTAAAAGCCAGCCCCAAACAAACAAACTATGTCGCGTACAAACTGTCCGAAACAGCTTGCATTAACACCTCCATGCCATGGTCAACTGTTACAATTCAGCCGAATTTGAAATGCGACCTTCTATAGCTCCTTATATAACTGACACAAATATTTATTAAATTGCTGTTTAAAATTTGACTTTATGCATATCTCTTATTCATAAGGAAATTATAGAATAAAATATTGTATTGTTATATTGTTTAAAGTATTTTATTGTTAAATATAACATAAATATAAAATAAATATAATATTGTTTAAAGTATCTAATCAAGTAAAAGTAAAGTAAGTACTTACAACATTGCGTGGTCTGCGTATCATTAGGTAGACCAACCATCGAACTCCTGGAGCACTAAAATAAGTTATAAAATTAATTATTAATTTAATAGATTAATTAGTTTGATTGTTAATTTGTGGATTTAAAAAGAAACCATTATATTTCTGTACAGTACTCCCATGGTGAAACAATATTACTCATAAAATTGAATTATTTAAATCACGAAAAATAGTTAAAAATGGTAACTATAGCCTCCTTCTGAGTAGCAAAAGCGCTGTGACCCTCCTGCCAGAGGAACTCCCTGGACTGGGGGAGGGGGGGGGTGCTTGAATACCCATCTCACAACGTTGAGCTTGATGGGTAGTTAACGGCGGGATTGCACCTAGGTAGCGTAGTATGGGTACATCGTAGTTTCACTGGGAATTGCAATTGGTTCAGTCAGCTCGCTGTCACCAGACTTCGTAACCAAGGCAACCTCTGGGGTAAAGTCAGCAATGCGAGCCTTCTCTTTTTCAAGTGCAGCATGGGACACGAACATTGGGAAGTAATAGTTTGTAACACCCATAGCTTTAATATGGGTATCAAACCATTTTTGGATAACTTCCTGCAGGTGCATCAAATCCTGTCAAATCCTTGTACTGTTTTTTCAGGGCTAAAAACTGAATAACAGCGGGTTTGAGCTTGTCTTTTCCAGCTTTTGTTGCTTTCAGAGCACGAAATACAATCGAAACACTATCGAAAGATTATGTCCACTTATATTTAAAATTCTCATTACAAATTTCATTTTTGCAATTAGCTTATACATGCTCGAAATAGAAAGATTCAAGATAGAGAGGATTATTGCGCTTTACATGCCATCTGCAACATTTTTATAAATAATTCTATATTAGCACTTCAATAATTAAACATGGATCAAATCAGAACTATTTCAGCACGCCACAAAAGTAGTCAGAAACAATTTATGATTATGCGAGTTCCAAAAGAACCAATTGCGAGCTAGGCAACAAGTCACGTGAGAGGAACCCATGCTTGTGATTAGCTTAACTTTAGCTCTCTAAGTTTACATTAATCCTGACAGTTTCTACTGAAATCGTTATAATGATGCAATTTATGCATATTTTGGAAAATTTATGAAGATATGAAGTCCGAGAAGGTTTACTACTCGCTCTTTACTAAAGCTTCAGTCTGGAAAGTCTTGATAAATTAAACAACAAAGCTGCTTTATAACAGAGATCACTGTAAAAAGTGCATACCAACGGTTTATTTTAGTATGCTGAACAAACACACGTACAATGCACTTGTCGTACAAATCTACAAGTGTTATGTGTTGATACCACCGTCTGCAGTGCTAATGTCCAGGGAAACTTCCACTCAGACATGGACACCAATACAACAATAAGTTGATAATTCTTACTCGCCAGCATTATATATACGACATTTCATTTTAAAACATATAAAATGTGGCTCTTCCACGTTTAAAATTAAATCACAAATATAATCGCATCAAGATTGTTTAAAAAGCTATCAAAAACCATTGTTCGCGAAAATTAGGCAAGAAATACGGGTCTTTTGTCGAATGTTTTATCAACAAAATACAAATGGAAGATTTCCCCTCCCACAATGTGGTAGCGAAAATACCGTACAGAAGCTCGGCCCTACTTTTTTCAGCTCTCAACAAATATTACGGTCGTGATATAATCTGTCACCACACTAGCTGAGAATTATTAATATTACTGGGGAAATTCTTAGGGTCTGAATTTTAACACGTCAATATTATTAAAAACAACCTTTCTTTAAAACAAAACCAGAGCTGAATTAGCCAGACAGGAGGTGAGACTGAAAGCACTTTCAGCACATATATACCACTACAACTATACCGTACAATTAATGAAACGGGTGAGGCACTTTCAAACCTACCAAAGTAATAAAAATTCCATGCATATATACCACAACCTAAAGTAATATTCTATTAATACACCACATACAAGTACAACTGAGCGATCGCGAATATAATAATGAAATGAAACCTTATAGTATAATGGCAGTGTTACGGCGGCCGTAGTGGGTGGTAGGAAAGAAGTATGTTTGATAATGGGGGACATGCACGTGATAATGGGGGACATGCACGTGATAATGGGGGACATGCACGTGATAATGGGGGACATGCACGTGATAATGGGGGACATGCACGTGATAATTGGGCCCTCCTCGACTACAACTCCATCTGTCATAGAGTCCCTTTTTGTAGAGTCCCCCTATTTATAGAGTCATTCGTACACAATTTAAAATCACAGATCGCACAGATGTTGTACAAGTAGAGAAACAGTAACTCAGTAAGGAACGAGACGCATATTATATATATGAATTCATGGAGGGCGGCAAAACTGAAGTTTTACATTCAGATCGATTAAGAGACGAGTTTCAAAATCAAGTACTGGATAGGAATGTAAAGTTTTGAATAGAATCATCGAATATAAGAATGAAATCATGAAATAGTACCAGTAACGCTCAGTAAAGCATCACATTTCACTGTCAGACGTCAGTGTAGATGAAATATTCGCTAAATTCTAACTATTTATTCGCTAAAATAAGCATAGATTTATACTGCGGTTGAAAGCAGGTGTAAGGTTAACATTATGTGATGAATTTATGTCTTATACTGCTTTATATATTTATAATTATGATGAGCGTACTTAGCTGACGTTAAGTATGAAGTCTACAAGTCAGTAATGATGGTATTAAGCTGCTGTCACCCCAAGATAAACCTGTGTAGGATCTTAAGATTGAGGGTGATCATGAAACAACGTACAGTAAAACCCCAATTTACCACGCCCCGATTTACCGCAGACATCTTCTTCCCTCTAAATAGGGCGCGGTAAATCGGGGTTTTACTGTATCTCGTGAGGCGTACTAAACTAGTTTTGGACTTTTGGCTTTAAACCCACGAGTATCAACTAGCAGATTAAAATAATGTTAATAAATTATATCAGAAAACATATTACATAATATTTAATGAGGCAAAACTGCTTTATAATATGTATTAATATTTAATTTTAGTAAAATTTATGCTCATGAGGAACGTGACTTTTCCACTATCATAATAATATAATATAAAATATTTAATGTTATGGTTTCTGCGGAAACGTCACGTGTACTCTTTCCAATCGGGCTCATCGAATTGTCCTTTCATAAATTATGTAATATATAATTTATGAAATAGTATGAGCAATTCCATAAGCCCGATTGTAAATCTAATTACTTGAATTTGCCATGCGAATAGCGTTATAAACTTATACTGAACCTTAGAAAGGTAAAACAGTTAAAAGTTTAAGAAATTAAGAGGTTAGAGGCTCTCTAAAAAACAAAAATGTGCAATTTTGTAAGATACCTATCAAACCAGGCCAAGAAGCAAAATTAAGAAATGGATGTCGGGACCAGGAGAACTGAGAAGCACTACTCAGGAATTCGAAGCAGCTTTACAAATGTGCAGAATAAACGAAATGTTCCCGCCAGAAGGAAGCCACCCAGCTATAATACGAATACCCACACTCGAAAAGTGTAGAGCGATGATGGCTCTCTACTAGTGGGAGGAGTGTAAACAATTCCGATGCTAACCAACAAGTTAGTTAGGTGTCTGACAAGCAACTGGTACCTAACCTAACTAGTAAGCTAGGTAACCCAGTAAGCTAGGTATCCCAGTAAGCTAGGTATCCCAGTAAGCCGAAGAACATTATTCATAAGGATCAAATGAAAATTAAATCAAATTCACAGGAACAATATACTGTCGGCGGATAAGAGTGTGAATTGAATTGATTAAACTTAAAAGTAGTGGAAAACATGAAAGTAAATAAGTAACAGAACTTGGCAATCAAATCAAGGAGACGAATTAAATTAAACATAACATACACTCTCTCTCTACCTAGCTTACTCTCTCTCTCCAACTGCTCCCCCGCGCCGGATCAACCAGTAGCTCTAACTGGCTGTGGATAACAGGGTGTAGTTAGTATCTAATGAGAGAGTGTGGGATAAGGTGTCAGGTTTCAGATTGAGGAATTTGTAATTACACAAATAATAGGGTTCCGCGCTAATTAATGTGATTTTAGTATCCTACTTCTCATTTATTGTGTTATAGTTTCAGATAGGGGAGGAGGTTTCATTGGATTATAGCAATAGAAAAAATTAAACCCCTGGAAATTATGATGAACTTCTGCACTGGATTATGATTTCTGTAGGATTTCAGACGCGATTCAGAGGACATGCAATTAAAAGGCGATAAAAATGTTCCATGAATTAGAAAGGAAGTGTACCGCTGACCGAACAAAGCCACGTTAAATATTTTATAGACCAAGCTAGGGATCGGATTGCACGGTTACAAAATGGCTTCTTTACGATTCCAAATACAATGACTTTTATCAGTTAAGGCTAAGATCTGAAATTGCTATGATTAAAATTAGTATCAAATGTCATCCCAGCATAAGATCACATCTATTTGCAGGAAAAAGAAATACAGTAATAGAGTGGAATTTATAGTCCCAAAGTATGGTTAGTGTACCGGAAATTGGCCGGTAATTTTAGGGTTAAATTCAACTTCAATCAACAGCTGTATAAACACTAAGTAGAATATCAATCTAGTAAAATTGCGTGTAACCACGCTGTAGACAACATTTGAAGATGTTCAGCTTTACGAAAGCGATATACATATAATTAATAATAGCTAGTTAGTAACGTCATGTGCCTATAGAGTCTCCAGCAAACCAAATTAAACGCGAACGGAGTGTACCAAGTACGTTAATAAAGCTAGATAGTAAGTAAATAATGCCAAAATTACTGATATCGGATAAAAGTTATCGTCTCTAGAATTTAAAACACTGAAGAGTGAAGCTGAAGAAGGTTAGTAAAAGTTATCGTCTCTAGAATTTAAAACACTGAAGAGTGAAGCTGAAGAAGGTTAGTAAAAGTTATCGTCTCTAGAATTTAAAACACTGAAGAGTGAAGCTGAAGAAGGTTAGTAAAAGTTATCGTCTCTAGAATTTAAAACACTGAAGAGTGAAGCTGAAGAAGGTTAGTAAAAGTTATCGTCTCTAGAATT